TATCTGGTTGATATCCTCCCCAGGAGATGTGCTCGGTATAATGTTTACCCCAAGGTCCTTTTCCTTAAGTAAAGCTTGCAGCTTTTGATCCCCTAGCCTGTACTCTGTCTGCGGTCTTCTTTGTGCTTCCCTCAATCTTCATGACTCTGCACTTTGCCATTTGTCTGACCAGGCCTGCAAATTGTCCAGATTGCAGTCTTATCTGATCCTCGGCCGCTTGTATTCTCCTCATTACTCTCACATCATCAGCGAACAGGGACACCTCTGAATCTATCCCTTCCGTCATGTTGTTCACATATATACCAGAAACAGCACCGAACCTAGAACTGATCCTTGTGGAACCCCACTCGACACATGCACCCACTCTGATACCTCATCAGCTACCAATACACGTTGCTTCCTTCCTGTCAGGTATTCCCTGATCCATTACAGTAGTTCCCCTGCGTGTACCCCTTACAGTACTTCCCCTGTGTGTGTGTGTGTGTGTGTGTGTGTGTGTGTGTGTGTGTGTGTGTGTGTGTGTGTGTGTGTGTGTGTGTGTGTGTGTGTGTGTGTGTGTATTTGTGTGTGTGTGTGAGTGTGTGTGTGTGTGTGTGTGTGTGTGTGTGTGAGTGTGTGTGTGTGTGTGTGTGTGTGTGTGTGTGTGTGTGTGTGTGTGTGTGGTGTGTGTGTGTGTGTGTGTGTCTGTGTGTGTGTCTGTGTGTGTGTGTGTGTGTGTGTTTGTGTGTGTGTGTGTATGTGTGTGTGTGTGTGTGTGTGTGTGTGTGTGTGTGTGTGTGTGTATGTGTGTGTGTGTGTGTGTGTGTGTGTGTGTGTGTGTGTGTGTGTGTGTGTGTGTGTGTGTGTGGTGTGTATTTGTGTGTGTGTGTGAGTGTGTGTGTGTGTGTGTGTGTGTGTGTGTGTGTGTGTGTGTGTGTGTGGTGTGTGAGTGTGTGTGTGTGTGTGTGTGTGTGTGTGTGTGTGTGTGTGTGTGTATGTGTGTGTGTGTGTGTGTGTGTGTGGTGTGTGTGTGTGTGTGTGTGTGTGGTGGTGTGTGTGTGTGTGTGTGTGTGTGTGTGTGTGTGTGTGTGTGTGTGTGTGTAGTATGTGTGTTGGTGTGTGTGTGTGTGTGTGTGTGTGTGTGTGTGTGTGTGTGTGTGTGTGTGTGTGTGGTGTGGTGTGTGTGTGTGTGTGGGTGTGAGTGTTATGGTTGGGTGAATCTGGTATTAATTCAGTTTTGATTCAGACTTCGTGATAGAAGGTGCGTCTGAAACACTGTGCTGGCAGCTAGCCCCCTAACACAGTGCTGGCAGCTAGCCCCCTAACACAGTGCTAGCAGCTAGCCCCCTAACACAGTGCTGGCAGCTAGCCCCCTAACACAGTGCTGGTGGCTAGCCCCCCTAACACAGTGCTGGCAGCTAGCCCCCTAACACAGTGATGGCAGCTAGCCCCCCTAACACAGTGCTGGCAGCTAACCCCCTAACACAGTGCTGACAGCGAGCCCCCCTAACACAGTGCTGGTAGCTAGCCCCCCTAACACAATGCTGGCAGCTAGCTCCCTAACACAGTGCTGGCAGCTAGCCCCTCTAACAAAGTGCTGGCAGCTAGCCCCCTAACACAGTGCTGACAGCTAGCCCCATAACACAGTGCTGGTAGCTAGCCCCCCTAACACAGTGCTGGCAGCTAGCCCCCCTAACACAGTGTTGGCAGCTAACCCCCCTAACACAATGCTGGCAGCTAGCTCCCTAACACAGTGCTGGCAGCTAGCCCCTCTAACAAAGTGCTGGCAGCTAGCCCCCTAACACAGTGCTGACAGCTAGCCCCATAACACAGTGCTGGTAGCTAGCCCCCCTAACACAGTGCTGGCAGCTAGCCCCCCTAACACAGTGTTGGCAGCTAACCCCCCTAACACAGTGCTGGCAGCTAGCCCCTCCCCTTCACTCAGTGCTGGTAGCTAGCCCCCTAACACAGTGCTGACAGCTAGCCCCCTCACACAGTGCTGGCAGCTTGCCCCCTAACACAGTGCTGACAGCTAGCCCCCCTATCACAGTGCTGGCAGCTAGCCCCCTAACACAGTGCTGACAGCTACCCCTCCTAACACAGTGCTGACAGCTAGCCCCCTAACACAGTGCTGACAGCTAGCCCCCCTAACACAGTGCTGGCAGCTAGCCCCCTAACACAGTGCTGACAGCTAGCCCCCCTAACACAGTGCTAGCAGCTAGCCCCCTAACACAGTGCTGGCAGCTAGCCCCCCTAACACAGTGCTGGCAGCTAGCCCCCTAACACAGTGCTGGCAGCTAGCCCCCCTAACACAGTGCTGGCAGCTAGCCCCCTAACACAGTGCTGGCAGCTAGCCCCCTAACACAGTGCTGGCAGCTAGCCCCCCCTCACACAGTGCTGGCAGCTAGCCCCCTAACACAGTGCTGGCAGCTAGCCCCCTAACACAGTGCTGGTAGCTAGCCCCCCTAACACAGTGCTGGCAGCTAACCCCCTAACACAGTGCTGACAGCGAGCCCCCCTAACACAGTGCTGGTAGCTAGCCCCCCTAACACAATGCAGGCAGCTAGCTCCCTAACACAGTGCTGGCAGCTAGCCCCTCTAACAAAGTGCTGGCAGCTAGCCCCCTAACACAGTGCTGACAGCTAGCCCCATAACACAGTGCTGGTAGCTAGCCCCCCTAACACAGTGCTGGCAGCTAGCCCCCCTAACACAGTGTTGGCAGCTAACCCCCCTAACACAGTGCTGGCAGCTAGCCCCTCCCCTTCACTCAGTGCTGGTAGCTAGCCCCCTAACACAGTGCTGACAGCTAGCCCCCTCACACAGTGCTGGCAGCTTGCCCCCTAACACAGTGCTGACAGCTAGCCCCCCTATCACAGTGCTGGCAGCTAGCCCCCTAACACAGTGCTGACAGCTACCCCTCCTAACACAGTGCTGACAGCTAGCCCCCTAACACAGTGCTGACAGCTAGCCCCCCTAACACAGTGCTGGCAGCTAGACCCGCTAACACAGTGCTGGCAGCTAACCCCCTAACACAGTGCTGGCAGCTAACCCCCCTAACACAGTGCCGGAAGCTAGTCCCCTAACACAGTGATGGCAGCTAGCCCCCCTAACACAGTGCTGGCAGCTAGTCCCCTAACACAGTGCTTGCAGCTAGCCCCCTAACACAGTGCTTGCAGCTAGCCCCCTAACACTGTGCTTGCAGCTAGCCCTCTAACACAGTTCTGGTAGCTAGCCCCCCTAACACAGTGCTGGCAGCTAGCCCCCCTAACACAGTGCTGGCAGCTAGCCCCCTAACACAGTGCTGGCAGCAAGCCCCCCTAACACAGTGCTGGCAGCAAGCCCCCCTAACACAGTGCTGGCAGCAAGCCCCCCTAACACAGTGCTGGCAGCTAGCCCCCCTTACACAGTGCTGGCAGCTAGCCCCCTAACACAGTGCTGGCAGCTAGCCCCCCCTAACACAGTGCTGGCAGCTAGCCCCCTAACACAGTGCTGGTAGCTAGCCCCCTAACACAGTGCTGGCAGCTAGCCCCCTAACACAGTGCTGACAGCTAGCCCCCTAACACAGTGCTAGCAGCTAGCCCCCTAATACAGTGCTGGCAGCTAGCCCCCCTAACACAGTGCTGGCAGCTAGCCCCCTAACACAGTGCTGGCAGCTAGCCCCCTAACACAGTGCTGGCAGCTAGCCCCCTAACACAGTGCTGGCAGCTAGCCCCCTAACACAGTTCTGGCAGCTAGCCCCCCCTAACACAGTGCTGGCAGCTAGCCCCCTAACACAGTGCTGGCAGCTAGCCCCCCTAACACAGTGCTGGCAGCTAGCCCCCCCTAACACAGTGCTGGCAGCTAGCCCCCTAACACAGTGCTGGAAGGTAGTCCTTAACACATTACTGGAAAGTAGCCTCCGAATACAGTTCTAGAAGCTAGCCCCTAACACCGTGTTAGAAGCTAGCCCCTAACACCGTGTTAGAAGCTAGCCCCCCTAACACCGTGTTAGAAGCTAGCCCCTAACACCGTGTTAGAAGCTAGCCCCCCTAACACCGTGTTAGAACCTAGCCTCCCTAACACCGTGTTAGAAGCTAGCCCCCCTAACACCGTGTTAGAAGCTAGCCCCTAACACCGTGTTAGAAGCTAGCCCCCTAACACCGTGTTAGAAGCTTGCCCCTAACACCGTGTTAGAAGCTAGCTCCCCTAACACCGTGTTAGAAGCTAGCCCCCCTAACACCGTGTTAGAAGCTAGCCCCCCTAACACCGTGTTAGAAGCTAGCCCCCCTAACACCGTGTTAGAAGCTAGCCCCTAACACCGTGTTAGAAGCTAGCCCCCCTAACACCGTGTTAGAACCTAGCCTCCCTAACACCATGTTAGAAGCTAGCCCCCCTAACACCGTGTTAGAAGCTAGCCCCTAACACCGTGTTAGAAGCTAGCCCCCTAACACCGTGTTAGAAGCTTGCCCCTAACACCGTGTTAGAAGCTAGCTCCCCTAACACCGTGTTAGAAGCTAGCCCCCCTAACACCGTGTTAGAAGCTAGCCCCCCTAACACCGTGTTAGAAGCTAGCCCCCTAACACCGTGTTAGAAGCTAGCCCCTAACACCGTGTTAGAAGCTAGCCCCCTAACACCGTGTTAGAAGCTAGCCCCTAACACAGTGTTAGAAGCTAGCCCCCCTAACACCGTGTTAGAAGCTAGCCCCCCTAACACCGTGTTAGAGGCTAGCCCCCTAACACCGTGTTAGAAGCTAACACTAAACCATCCTCCTCCCTCTCAAAATTCTATCCAAACTTAGATTTCAAAGTTATCTTTGATGCATCACAAGCAACAGGTGACGCAACCAAGTTTGAAAAAAAAAATTTAGTTAATTCGCCCGTGTTTTTGAGAGTAAAACTTAGCTCAAGTTGGCTAAGTTTCAACTCAAGTTCAGAAAAAAGGTCTTTTGGGCCAGAATTCCTAAACTAAGTTAGGTAGTGAAGTTGGATTTAGTTGACGTACGTGTGAGGTTAGGTGGAACTTAGATAACTTATGTTGGTAGGATGAGTGAGAAGAACCAAGTAGAGAGGTACCAGACTAAGTTATACGTGAAGGTAAAACGGAAGCCTGGTAAATGTTTCGCACTCTGGCAGTAGGGGTGTGTGTGTTTGTGTGTGTGTGTGTGTGTGTGTGTGTGTGTTTGTGTGTGTTTGTGTGTGTTTGTGTGTGTGTGTGTGTGTGTGTGTGTGTGTGTGTGTGTGTGTGTGTGTGTGTGTGTGTGTGTGTGTGTGTGTGTGTGTGTGTGTGTTTGTGTGTGTTTGTGTGTGTGTGTGTGTGTGTGTGTGTGTGTGTGGTGTGTGTTTGTGTGTGTGTGTGTGTGTGTGTGTGTGTGTGTGTGTGTGTGTTTGTGTGTGTTGTGTGTGTGTGTGTGTGTGTGTGTGTACTCACCTATTTGTGGTTGCAGGGGTCGAGTCCTAGCTCCTGGCCCCGCCTCTTCACCGGTTGCTACTAGACCCTCTCTCTCCCCGCTCCACGAGCTTTATCAAACCTCGTCTTAAAACTGTGTATGGTTCCTGCCTCCACTACGTCATTTTCTAGGCTATTCCACTGCCTTACAACTCTATGACTGAAGAAATACTTCCTACTATCTCTCTGACTCATTTGTGTCTTCAACTTCCAATTGTGGCCTCTTGTTTCTGTGTCCCCTCCCTGGAACATCCTGTCCTTGTCCACCTTGTCTATTCCACGCAGTATTTTATATGTCGTTATCATGTCTCCCCTGACCCTCCTGTCCTCCAGTGTCGTCAGGCCGATTTCCCTTAATCTTTCTTCATAGGACATTCCCCTTAGCTCTGGAACTAACCTTGTCGCAAACCTTTGTACTTTCTCTAGTTTCTTGACGTGCTTTATCAAGTGCGGGTTCCAAACAGGTGCTGCATACTCCAGTATGGGCCTGACATACACGGTGTACAGTGTCTTGAATGATTCCTTACTAAGGTATCGGAATGCTGTTCTCAGGTTTGCCAGGCGCCCATATGCTGCAGCAGTTATCTGATTGATGTGTGCTTCCGGAGACATGCTCGGTGTTATACGGTGTGTGTGTGTGTGTGTGTGTGTGTGTGTGTGTGTGTGTGTGTGTGTGTGTGTGTGTTTGTGTATGTTTGTGTGTGTGTGTGTGTGTGTGTGTGTGTGTGTGTGTGTGTGTGGTGTGTGTGTGTGTGTGTGTGTGTGTGTGTGTGTGTGTGTGTGTGTGTGTGTGTTTGTGTGTGTTTGTGTGTGTGTGTGTGCATGTGTGTGTGCGTGTGTGTTTGTGTGTGTGTGTGTGTGTTTGTGTGTGTGTGTGTGTGTGTGTGTGTGTGTGTGTGTGTGTGTGTGTGTGTGTGTGTGTGTGTGTGTGTGTTTGTGTGTGTTGTTATAATTTGCAATGTGCCTGTTGTGTGCTACGTTTATACTATGATGCCCGGTGTTGGTGGTTGTGTACGTGTTGTCTGGTGTGGTGTGTTGGGCTGTTGCCTATGTGTGGTGTGGTGCCTGCTCCTATTAGATTTGCAACCACTCACTCTGCCTTGGGTAGGGACACCATTACATACATATTGATGCCAGTGAGGTCATGTAATCCCTATTAATACCTATGTTAGGTATGTAAACTATATCACCTATATTATACATATTGATCCTAATATATCTATTATAGATATATATCATTCAACCTATGTGTGGGTATGGAACTAACAACTCATTTAGCAGGTATCATTTAAAATTAATCTTTTCTAATAATTTTTCTTATAGTTTAAATATATATTTTTTATTATATTATAGTAAAAATTAATAATTTGTACCAATAGAACTTAGAATAACTTACTGCCGTATAAAACATGCGTAATTAAATTTAACCTATCCAACAAATATTTTTAGATAAGTTTACAATATTTAATAATAACAATTGCAAAGAAATATGTTTTTTTTTCGTTATGCTCCAAAATTATTTTTTCGAATTACTGCATACAACAAAATTTTTCGCTATTATTTACTTCGCAAGAAATTCTTTGTTATTTAATATTTCAGATGGATACATGCCTTGAAGTATGTTTGGTGATTGTCGTTGGTGCAGGATGATGTTTTGGTGGTTGGAGCAGATACGCAAAAGCTTGAGTACGAAGAGATTTCGTATTTATCAAACTTATACCTGTGAAGATGGCCTGTTGGAGTTATGGTGAGATGTTGAGGATGGTGAAGATGGTTAGCACTGTGCACATAACTAGCAGTGCATACAACCTTACCATGATGGCGACATAAATACTGTGCCACACCTAATTAGCTGTGCACCATAACTACAGTGCCACACACCCTACATGTGCACCATAACTACAGTGCCAACACCCTATACTGTGCACCATAACTACAGTGCCACACACCCTACACTGTGCACCATAACTACAGTGCCAACACACCCTACACTGTGCACCATACTACAGTGCCACACACCCTACACTGTGCACCATAACTACAGTGCCACACACCCTACACTGTGCACCATAGCTACAGTGCCACACACCCTACACTGTGCACCATAACTACAGTGCCACACACCCTACACTGTGCACCATAACTACAGTGCCACACACCCTACACTGTGCACCATAACTACAGTGCCAAACACCCTATACTGTGCACCATAACTACAGTGCCACACACCCTACACTGTGCACCATAACTACAGTGCCACAACACCCTACACTGTGCACCATAACTACAGTGCCAACACCCTACACTGTGCACCATAACTACAGTGCCACACACCCTACACTGTGCACCATAACTACAGTGCCAACACCCTACACTGTGCACCATAACTACAGTGCCACACACCCTACACTGTGCACCATAGCTACAGTGCCACACACCCTACACTGTGCACCATAACTACAGTGCCACACACCCTACACTGTGCACCATAACTACAGTGCCACACACCACACTGTGCACCTAACTACGTGCCAACCCCTACACTGTGCCCATAACTACAGTGCCAACACCAACTGGCACATAACTACTGCACACCCTACATGGCCCATAGCTACAGTGCCACACACCCTACACTGTGCACCATAACTACAGTGCCACACACCCTACACTGTGCACCATAACTAAAGTGCCACACACCCTACACTGTGCACCATAACTACAGTGCCACACACCCTACACTGTGCACCATAACTACAGTGCCACACACCCTACACTGTGCACCATAACTACAGTGCCACACACCCTACACTGTGCACCATAGCTACAGTGCCACACACCCTACACTGTGCACCATAACTACAGTGCCACACACCCTACACTGTGCACCATAACTACAGTGCCACACACCCTACACTGTGCACCATAACTACAGTGCCACACACCCTACACTGTGCACCATAAACTACAGTGCCACACACCCTACACTGTGCACCATAACTACAGTGCCACACACCCTACACTTTGCACCATAACTACAGTGCCACACACCCTACACTGTGCACCATAACTACAGTGCCAAACACCCTATACTGTGCACCATAACTACAGTGCCACACACCCTACACTGTGCACCATAACTACAGTGCCACACACCCTACACTGTGCACCATAACTACAGTGCCACACACCCTACACTGTGCACCATAACTACAGTGCCACACACCCTACACTGTGCACCATAACTACAGTGCCACACACCCTACACTGTGCACCATAACTACAGTGCCACACACCCTACACTGTGCACCATAACTACAGTGCCACACACCCTACACCAACATTACGGTCCACAACTTATAAACCCAAAATTTACACATGTTTTCCATACCGTGTTTTCTCTATGTTTCCAGGTTTTCTGATGAACATCGCAGTGTCCCTGGCACTGCCCACACTGGCACCGGTCAACGGCAGGTCGTTACAAGTGCAGAGCAGCGTAGTGAGAGAGCTGGCACCAGAGGACCTCACTTGGGACCCAGCCTATGAACTTCCACTCATGAAACTCACTATTTACTTCGCCCATCTCGAGGTTTAGTGTTAAACCCGGTGGTTTTTAGCCATAGGTTTAGTACAGTAAGCTCTCGAATGACAGATACTTTGAAAAGTTTCTGTATTTTGTATATCATTATTATACACGATACATAATGTCCCCAATGTGTTCGTAAGTTGAAGTTTTACTGTATAATGTGTTCGTAAGTTGAAGTTTTACTGTATAATGTGTTCGTAAGTTGAAGTTTTACTGTATAATGTGTTCGTAAGTTGAAGTTTTACTGTATAATGTGTTCGTAAGTTGAAGTTTTACTGTGTAATGTGTTCGTAAGTTGAAGTTTTACTGTATAATGTGTTCGTAAGTTGAAGTTTTACTGTGTAATGTGTTCGTAAGTTGAAGTTTTACTGTGTAATGTGTTCGTAAGTTGAAGTTTTACTGTGTAATGTGTTCGTAAGTTGAAGTTTTACTGTATAATGTGTTCGTAAGTTGAAGTTTTACTGTATAATGTGTTCGTAAGTTGAAGTTTTACTGTGTAATGTGTTCGTAAGTTGAAGTTTTACTGTATAATGTGTTCGTAAGTTGAAGTTTTACTGTATAATGTGTTCGTAAGTTGAAGTCTTACTGTATCATGTGTTCGTAAGTTGAAGTTTTACTGTATAATGTGTTCGTAAGTTGAAGTCTTACTGTATCATGTGTTCGTAAGTTGAAGTTTTACTGTATAATGTGTTCGTAAGTTGAAGTTTTACTGTATCATGTGTTCGTAAGTTGAAGTTTTACTGTATCATGTGTTCGTAAGTTGAAGTCTTACTGTATCATGTGTTCGTAAGTTGAAGTCTTACTGTATCATGTGTTCGTAAGTTGAAGTCTTACTGTATCATGTGCTCGTAAGTTGAAGAACTAATGTACTGGTTTTTGATACTGAAGTGCTCTGTGGAGAGGGACGGGGGTTCCTGGTAGGGGGTTACTGGTGGTAGTGGTAGTTTTAGGATTGTGGTAGTTACTGGTAGTATTGGTAGTCTTATGGTTGTTATGGATCATGGTGGAGTTACTGGTGGTAATAACAGTATTGTGATTGTGGTAGTTACTGGTAATAATGGTAGTCTTATGGTTGTCATGGTTCATGGTAGTTATTGGTGGTGGTTACTGGTAATAATGGTAGTCTTACGGTTGTCATGGTTCATGGTAGTTACTGGTTGTTGTTACTGGTGATAATCCTCACCCAAAAATGAGAAATATAGATATATTTTTAGAAATATAAATATATTTTTAAGCTTTCTTTTATTCTATTAAGCTTTCTTTTCTTCTATTAGCTTTCTTTTCTTCTATTAGCTTTCTTTTCTTCTATTAGCTTTCTTTTCTTCTATTAAGCTTTCTTTTCTTCTATTAAGCTTTCTTTTCTTCTATTAAGCTTTCTTTTCTTCTATTAAGCTTTCTTTTCTTCTATTAAGCTTTCTTTTCTTCTATTAAGCTTTCTTTTCTTCTATTAAGCTTTCTTTTCTTCTATTAATCTTTCTTTTCTCATATTAAGCTTTCTTTTCTTCTATTAAGCTTTCTTTTCTTCTATTAAGCTTTCTTTTCTTCTATTAAGCTTTCTTTTCTTCTATTAAGCTTTCTTTTCTTCTATTAAGCTTTCTTTTTAATTTTCTCACTATTTTCTTGCACAATTCTCTTTATTTTGGTGTATGAGTTGTGTATTTTTTGTGTTAGAGAAGTATTTTTTCCTGACAGCTGCCGGTGCTGTCGTGTCAGGAGCGACTGATCTGTGAGCTGACAGCTGACCCTGACACTTTCTTCCCCATCAGCCAGATCTTCATGAAGGAACTCAGGTACTGTCAGTCTTGAACCATCACACACCTGCAGCAGACACACTAACTCTGGCAACACACACCTGCAGCAGACACATTAACACTGGCAACACACACCTGCAGCAGACACACTAACACTGGCAACACACACCTGCAGCAGACACACTAACACTGGCAACACACACCTGCAGCAGACACACTAACACTGGCAACACACACCTGCAGCAGACACACTAACACTGGCAACACACACCTGCAGCAGACACACTAACACTGGCATCACACACCTGCAGCAGACACACTAGCACTGGCATCACACACCTGCAGCATACACACTAACACCGGCAACACACACCTGCAGCAGACACACTAACACTGGCAACACACACCTGCAGCAGACACACTAACACTGGCATCACACACCTGCAGCAGACACACTAACACTGGCAACACACACCTGCGCAGACACACTAAGACTGGCAACACACACCTGCAGCAGACACACTAACACTGGCAACACACACCTGCAGCAGACACACTAACACTGGCAACACACACCTGCGGCAGACACACTAACACTGGCAACACACACCTGCAGCAGACACATTAACACTGGCAACACACACCTGCGGCAGACACACTAACACTGGCAACACACACCTGCAGCAGACACACTAACACTGGCAACACACACCTGCGGCAGACACACTAACACTGGCAACACACACCTGCGGCAGACACACTAACACTGGCAACACACACCTGCAGCAGACACATTAACACTGGCAACACACACCTGCGGCAGACAAACTAACACTGGCAACACACACCTGCAGCAGACACATTAACACTGACATCACACATCTGCAGCAGACACATTAGCACTGACATCACACACCTGCAGCAGACACATTAACACTGACATCACACATCTGCAGCAGACACATTAGCACTGACATCACACACCTGCAGCAGACACATTAACACTGACATCACACATCTGCAGCAGACACATTAGCACTGACATCACACACCTGCAGCAGACACATTAGCACTGACATCACACACCTGCAGCAGACACATTAACACTGACATCACACACCTGCAGCAGACACATTAACACTGACATCACACACTTGCAGCAGACACCTTAACACTGACATCACACACCTGCAGCAGACAAGTCCCTACTGTTACTCTAACATGTCCGACTCACAACAGCCAATCACTGGATAAAATCAATTATTCTCGTTGTATTTAACTAACTCCCGTTGCTCCTGTTGTGACGTTGCTATATACTGTTCCAACAGGCTTGTTAATGGGCTAGTTACAATGAAGTTAGAGTCAATAATGACCTATCCCATCAGGCTAGTTAATGGCCTAGATACAATGAAGCTAGACTCTCTAATGGCATTATATTTCGACAGGCTTGTTAATGGACCAGATACAATGAAAGACTTTCTAATGACCTTCTCTCCCAACAGGCTTATTAATGGGCCAGTTACAATGAAGTCAGACTCTCTGATGTGGAAGTACATGACTGCTGCTCGTGAGGGTTTCACCTCACCCATTGAAAACTGTGCTAGAGCCTACGCCAGCTGTCCTGTACCAGCTGAGAGGATCATCAACATGCCTCAGCTCAGACTCTGGCAGTACTTTGCTTCAAGACTTAACATTGATGTTTTCTAAATGCAGTGGAACCAGGAGTTAAGTCCTGGCTTTCTCCCTTCCCATTATTAGAGTTCCTCTCTCATAACCTTCCCTTCTTTACCTCCCACTAGTGACAATCATTAACTCTACCCATCAATCTCTTCCACTAGTGACACTAAATCTACTCTTCCATTAGTAACACTTACTAAATCTACTCTTCCATTAGTAACACTTACTAAATCTACCCTTCCATTAGTAGACACTTACTAAATACCTTCCATTAGTACACTCACAAATCTTTCTCTTACCATATAGCAAACCACAAATACTACATCATAAGACAAACACATCATTATAACAACTACAGCAAATTATCTTAATGTTATAGAATTATTATCCATCACACAAATCTAGTTTACAATTAAGTAACAACATCTAACTAAAATTATATTCCATTATATATACATTATAAATATAATTTCATTAGTATCACTTACTAAATCTACCCTTCCATCTCTACCGTAGGTGACAGTCACTAAGTTTACCCTTCCATTACCAGGTACAAGCCACAACAAGGTCTTTTCTTTACACATAAAAGCACCACAACAAAATAACTACCAGTCAGTAAAACAAACACAATAATGTATAACCAGACACAAAGCAAATTATCTTGAATGTTGAAGGAATTAGTTATCCCATCACCACAAGTGATTGTGTTGGAACAAGAATGATACCAGTAACAGGACGGCCATCAACCATAACAAATATATATATATATATATATATATATATATATATATATATATATATAATATATATATATATATATATATATATATATATATATATATGTATATATAATATTCTTTAGGTTATTACAATCATTTATATTTTAAGTTTTTAATTCCTTTTCATTAAAAATTTAATTGGTAATTAGTGAGTGTCGTAATAGCTTAATTGTTCAATATTTTTTTAAATTCTGGGACTTATAATATAATTTTTTGTGAGTCAATTCTTGACTCATACATCGATGTATATTTATAATAAATTAAGTTGTATTGAAGACTTTCTTTCCCTCTGTATTTTGAACTTTCATCACGATAGGTTTGAGCATGTGAATGTAATTCATTCTTAAGACTGGTTGTGTACAGTGACAAGTGTATATCTCTGTGTATATATACTGACAAGTGTATATCTCTGTGTATATATACTGCGAGGTGTATATCTCACTGTATATATACTGCGAGGTGTATATCTCACTGTATATATACTGAGAGGTGTATATCTCACTGTATATATACTGAGAGGTGTATATCTCACTGTATATATACTGAGAGGTGTATATCTCACTGTATATATACTGAGAGGTGTATATCTCACTGTATATATACTGAGAGGTGTATATCTCACTGTATATATACTGAGAGGGGTATATCTCACTGTATATATACTGAGAGGGGTATATCTCACTGTATATATACTGAGAGGTGCATATCTCTCACTGTATTTATACTGAGAGGTGTATATCTCTCAGTGTATATGTACTGAGAGGTGTATATCTCACTGTATATATACTGAGAGGTGTATATCTCACTGTATATATACTGAGAGGTGTATATCTCACTGTATATATACTGAGAGGTGTATATCTCACTGTATATATACTGAGAGGGATATATCTCACTGTATATATACTGAGAGGGGTATATCTCACTGTATATATACTGAGAGGTGTATATCTCTCACTGTATATATACTGAGAGGTGTATATCTCTCAGTGTATATATACTGAGAGGTGTATATCTCTCACTGTATATATACTGAGAGGTGTATATCTCTCAGTGTATATATACTGAGAGGTGTATATCTCTCAGTGTATATATACTGAGAGGTGTATATCTCTTACTGTATATGTACTGAGAGGTATATATCTCTCAGTGTATATATACTGAGAGGTGTATATCTCTCACTGTATATATACTGAGAGGTGTATATCGCTCACTGTATATATACTGAGAGGTGTATATCTCTCACTGTATATGTACTGAGAGGTGTATATCTCTCAGTGTATATATACTGAGAAGTGTATATCTCTCACTATATGTATACTGAGAGGTGTATATCGCTCACTGTATATATACTGAGAGGTGTATATCTCTCAGTGTATATATACTGAGAGGTGTATATCTCTCACTATATATATACTGAGAGGTGTATATCTCTCAGTGTATATATACTGAGAGGTGCATATCTCTCACTATATGTATACTGAGAGGTGTATATCTCTCACTGTATATATACTGAGAGGCGTATATCTCTCACTGTATATATACTGAGAGGCGTGTATCTCTCACTGTATATATACTGAGAGGTGTATATCTCTCACTGTATATATACTGAGAGGCGTGTATCTCTCACTGTATATATACTGAGAGGTGTATATCTCTCACTATATATATACTGAGAGGTGTATTTCTCTCACTATATATATACTGAGAGGTGTATTTCTCTCACTATATATATACTGAGAGGTGTATTTCTCTCACTATATATATACTGAGAGGTGTATTTCTCTCACTGTATATATACTGAGAGGTGTATTTCTCTCACTGTATATATACTGAGAGGTGTATTTCTCTCAGTGTATATATACTGAGAGGTGTATTTCTCTCACTGTATATATACTGAGAGGTGTATTTCTCTCACTGTATATATACTGAGAGGTGTATTTCTCTCACTGTATATATACTGAGAGGTGTATTTCTCTCACTGTATATATACTCAAGCTCCACTATTTGATCGTCACTTTATTTGTATTAGTCCCTTAGCTCATTATTTTACATTTGTTAAATAATCCAGGTGCTATTTTTTAGCTTAAGACTATTTACTTTGTTTTATACTTAATTCAAACTATAGATTCACTACAAATCTTATGATTACAAGCATTGATCCTGATACCAACCTCTTATTTAATGACTTAAATGAATCAAACAGTAACTGTAATTACTACACTGCAGAACAATCAAAGGCACTTCTCAGTGCCAACAACAACATAACTATATTTAACTACAATATCAGATCTTTAAGCAAGCATTTACGATGACCTCATAGCATTACTAAATTCCTTACATGCCAATATGTCCATCATTACACTAACTGAAACCTGGCTAAAGCCTGATAGTACAGATGTCTATGCCATTCCTGGTTACACAGCCATACACAACTGTAGGCCAGATCAACAAGGGGGTGGCACAGCCATATACTACTCAGACCAACTAGAATGTATCACTAATACTTGCACAAGGGATGAACATGGGGAATATATAATAGCTAAATTCAAATCAAAGTACCTACAAAAACCTCTCACATTGATAAACATCTACAGAGTTCCACAGTCAAACATTAGCCAATTTAGTCAAAATCTAGGAAGTATGATAACTGATGCACGCATGAACAAAGATCACTTACTACTCTCAGGTGACTTCAATATAAATCTCCTGCAAGACCAGGACCCACACGTTACTGAATTCACAAACACAATGAGTAACTGTATGTTACTACCAACAGTAACAAAACCTACAAGAGTTACAGAGACTAGTGTTTCCCTACTTGACCACATCTGGACCAACACCATATCCCTTTTAAAATCAGGCATAATTACAGATAATACCACAGACCACTACCCTACTTTCCTCATAACAACTCTTGGTAAACTACCCCAAGACACTACTAAAGTCACCTTCAGACTTCACAATGAGGCAGCCATTAATAACTTCACAACAGCAATAGCAAACATTGATTGGCACACTGAGCTAGAAACCTATACAGATATTGACGAATGTATTAATAATTTTCTAAAAAAAACCCAATACCTCTATAACAAGCACTGCCCTAAAAAAACTAAACAGATGACAGCAAAGAGACTGAACAGTCCCTGGCTAACACCCAGCATTCTCAAATCCATAAATACAAAACACCAATATGAAAAACAGTACAGAATGGGTCACATAACCAGAGACCAAACAAAACGTTACTCGTCAATCCTAACCAGCCTGATAAGAAGGGCAAAAAAATTGTATTATGAGAACAGATTATCCAACTTACGAGGTGATATAAAAAAGACCTGGAAAACCCTATCAGAAATTCTGGGAACAAAAAAGATATCACGAAATAGCGAAATAAAATTAGCAAAAACAGATGAACCCCAACTCCCACCAACAGAAACAGCAAACAGACTCAATGATTTCTTCTCCACTATAGGACAAAACCTTGCCAATAAAATCCCAAGCTCAGATACCCCACCAAATGACTACCTCACCGGCAACTACCCGAACACACTGTTCCTAGCTCCGACTAACCCATACGAAGTCTCCCTTATTATCAACGCACTAAAAAACAAGGCAGGAGATTTAAATACCTTACCACCCTTTATATACAAAAAAGTGTCACAAGTGCTATCACCAATCATTGCAACACTCTTTAACAAATCCATTGAATCCTCCACCTTCCCTACAGTACTCAAAATAGCAAGGGTCACCCCGATCCACAAAGGAGGAGACCAAACAGAGTTGAATAACTATAGGCCAATATCCAACTTACACCCTCTCTCAAAAATCTTCGAAAAATTAATTCATAAACGAATCTACTCCTACCTTATCTCCCAAAACATACTCAACCCCTGCCAATTTGGATTCAGGCCTAATAAAAATACTAATGATGCTATTATACACATGCTAGAACATATATACACTGCAATAGAGAAAAAAGAAGTCCCACTGGGGGTCTTCATTGACTTACGTAAAGCTTTGATACAGTTGACCATGACTTGCTCCACGTAAAATTGTCACACTATGGTATAAAGGGCACTCCCTCAACTACCTCAAGTCTTACCTCAGCAACAGAAGCCAATATGTGTACGCAAATGGGGCAAAACTCTTCTGCACAACCAATTACAGTTGGTGTCCCACAGGAAGTGTCCTTGGCCCTCTTCTCTTTCTCCTATACATAAATGACCTTCCAAATGCTCGCAATTACTCAAACCCACACTATTTGCAGATGACACTACATACGTCTTCTCTCACCCGAGCCCAGTCACGCTAGCCAATACTGTAAATACCGAATTACAGAAAATATCTACCTGGAAGTAGGACTAACAAACTTACACTAAACATTGACAAAACCTACTTCATTCAGTTTGGTAACAGAGCTACAGATGTCCCTCTTAACATAATGATAAATGGATCACCCTATCA